CCGCATCTCGCGCGCCACTGATGACGCTCCCTGACGCACTCCTAACATTCGATTGTACCATTTTTGCATTCAAATGCAAATGTTTATTTTAAATTCGACTAATATTCATTTTTTTATTCACAATCTCCTCATCACAGGCAGGCAAAGCACTCATGTCCGTGTTTGTGTGTGCTGTCTGCGTCACTCAGAGCACGTGCCTATATCGTGCGCTATATCGAACATTTTTTATATCGTTATCGATGAAGGTGTACCGTCGATAAATATCGATACCGTTTTATCGCCCAGGCCTGCTGTAAGGGCTCATGTACAGACGTGTTTTACTGCAGTTTATGCATTAGTGAATCATTGATCAAAGCTCGTTCTCTTTATTATTGTAGTCTATAAGCAGGGGTCTGGTTCTCATGAGAGCATCTGATGAGACTGCACACATAGTGTGACCCATTCAATATAACTATAAACAATAAAATAATTAATAACTGTAATAATAGTATTATTGTACTTCATTTATTTTGTTATTTACTTTTATTTATTTTGTTATTTTTTAAATAATAAACAAAAAATAGTGTGATAATATATTATATTTTAAAATAATTATTGAGTATTAAAATAACAATATAATTATTTCACTTAAAACTTAAAAAATACAAATATTTACATTTTCATTTTCTTTTATTTATTTTCTACTTTTGTATTTTTTAATACACTTTTCAACATTTTCAAACCTAAAATCTACAAGCTTTATTATTATTTTAATTAAAATAAATTGTTAATAGTTGAATTAAACATTTTTAAATTAAGCTAAGGTTGAATGTTTTTTTTAATTGTTATTAATCCCATTTAATTCATTCAATTAATTAAAATAAATAGTTAATAATTAAATTAAAAACTGTCAATGTAAGCTAATGTTTAATGTTTATTTTATTGTTATATATTCAGTTCAACTCATTCAATTAATTAAAATAAATTGTTAATTAAATGTAAAAATGTAAATGTAAGTTAAATCTAATGTTTATTTTATTATTATATGTGACCCTGGAGCACAAAAGCAGTGTTAAGTCGCTGGGGTATATTTGTAGCAACAGCCAAAAATACATTTTATGGGTCAAAATTATCGATTTTTCTTTTATGCCAAAAATCATTAGGATATTAAGTAAAGATCATGTTCCATGAAGATATTTTGTAAATGTCCTACTGTAAATATATCAAAACTTAATTTTTGATTAGTAATATGCATTGCTAAGAACTTCATTTGGACAACTTTAAAGATGATTTTCTCAATATTTAGATTTTTTTGCACCCTCAGATTCCAGATTTTCAAATAGTTGTATCTCGACCAAATATTGTCCTATCCTAACAAACCATACATCAATGGAAAGCTTATTTATTCAGCTTTCAGATGATTTATAAATCTCAATTTCAAAAAATTTACCCTTAAGACTGGTTTTGTGGTCCAGGGTCACATATATGAAAATATATTGTTAATTTGTTTGAAAAAATTCATTTTTTTTATTACCATAACTCATCATCTGTATTAATGCTTCTGTTAATATTGAGTGTTATTGCGCCAATAAAAGTCACATATATGATGACAGAAGCACTGAACTGGATTTTATGGAGCTGACTGCATTAATGCGTTTGAGACTGTGTTTGGCTGCGACCTCTGACGCTCTAAATATGATTCTATAATCAACACTGTTCATGATTAATTCATCTTGGCGGCCGTTATAGTAAAAATGCAGTAAAAGTTTTCAAAAGCGTTCCACATGCAATGACCGAAATTATGACCGTTTTTGATGAAAAAACACTAAGATTCTAAGCGCAGCTCAGGAAACATTATAAAATGATTTTAACAAAGCATTTCCTGAGCGCTTTAGCTCTCACACACACAGACACACCTCGGGGTTGAGCAGGTGTGTGTGTACGACGGCCCGTTTGATGTCGTAGGGGTCGCTGTAATGCTCCAGAGCTCTCTGCAGTAAACCGGCTTTCTCACACAGCTGAGCGATGTGAGCACGCTCGTAGTGGGTGAGCATCTGATTCCCCAGGATCGCGTCTGCGACCTGCAAACACACGCACATAATTAACACAACAGCCAAAAGTCTTCTTGTGATATGCTTTTGGTTTTCGAAGTTCAAAGTGGAAAATATATTGTGATGTGCATTTGAAGTGTTTTCAGACAATCAAAATAGACAGCAGAGAGCTAAGCCAGCCTAAAGCTACTAAAATGATCACCTTTAAGCTAAACTTCATCAACAAAACGCAAAACACATCCAAACTAAACATTCATGTTGACATCTTAATTCTGACCAAAAACTGTGATTTCAACATGATTTTCTAACTTACATTGACCATTCTCTGCAGTGTTGATATTTTTTGCTAAAAATTATTAAAAATCGTTTTCATTAATTGAAATAACATGAAAATGAAAATATAAATATTAGATGAAAAACTCACACTTAAACTTAAAAAAAATTTAATTAAAAATCAGAAATGTTTTAAAGTGAAATATTTAAATAAATATTTTAAAAAATATAAATATTTATAAATAAACTTTATAAATATAAAAATTTATAAACATCAATAAATACTATAATAGTATATAGTTATCAGATGATCCCAAAAAAAAAAAATGCTATCAATAAATATTATAATATAATATAAATAATACTAAAATAACACTGGTTCTCAGATTGTCAAAGTTGAAAAAATTTTAAATGAAAACTGAAAATATAAAAATAAAAACTTCATAAATACTATAGTAGTATATAAAGCATACTAAAATAACACTGGTTCTCAGATGGTTCAAGTTAAAAAGTTTCTCAGATATAATTCTAATGTTGTGGTGGGACTCATGTTGGCTCATCTTGTGTAAATCTGCTGTGAACGCATCAGTGTGTGTTTGATCGGTTCACCTGAGGGGCGTGAATGAGGTTCATCTCCAGGAGGCGTGTCTGCAGAGGCCCCTCCTCCGGCCTGTTGTTCTTCAGAGCGTCCAATAGGAATGAAGTGCACTGCTGCACTAGATTCCCCTCCATAAAGACATCCACCACCTCAAACACACACACACACACACAAACAAACACACACACACACACACACGGTGATAAGTGCAGTCGCAGTGTGGAGCAGTGTTATTTTTAGACACTGTTATAGTTTTTATTAATATTTAAAATGAGTTTTTATTTTTATATTTTCCATTTTAATTTTAATTAAGTTTTATTAACTAGTTTTTAATTTTATATTTTCAGTTTACATTTTAATTTTAGTTAACGTTTTAGCTACTCATTTTTAATTTTATATTTTATTTTTAGTTTAATTGTAATTAAAGTTTTAGTAACTAATTTTTATTTTTATATTTTGTTTTTATTTTAATTTTAATTAAGTTTTAGTAGCTAGTTTTTAATTTTATATTTTCAGTTTTCATTTTAATTTTAGCTAAAGTTTTAGCTACTCATTTTTAGTTTTATATTTTATTTTTTGTTTAATTGTAATTAAAGTTTTAGTAACTAATTTTAATTTTTATATTTTCTGTTTTTATTTTAATTTTAATTAAGTTTTAGTAGCTAGTTTTTAATTTTCTATTTTCAGTTTTCATTTTCATTTTAGCTAAAGTTTTAGCTACTCATTTTGTTTTATATTTTGTTTTTAGTTTAATTGTAATTAAAGTTTTAGTAACTGATTTTTATTTTTTCTGTTTTTATTTTAATTTTAATTAAGTTTTAGTAGCTAGTTTTTAATTTTATATTTTCAGTTTTCATTTTCATTTTAGCTAAAGTTTTAGCTACTCATTTTGTTTTATATTTTGTTTTTAGTTTAATTGTAATTAAAGTTTTAGTAACTGATTTTTATTTTTTCTGTTTTTATTTTAATTTTAATTAAGTTTTAGTAGCTAGTTTTTAATTTTATATTTTCAGTTTTCATTTTAATTTTAATTAAAGTTATAGCTACTCATTTTTAGTTTTATATTTTGTTTTTAGTTTAATTGTAATTAAAGTTTTAGTAACTAATTTTAATTTTTATATTTTCTGTTTTAATTTTAATTTTAATTAAGTTTTAGTAGCTAGTTTTTAATTTTATATTTTCAGTTTTCATTTTAATTTTAATTAAAGTTATAGCTACTCATTTTTAGTTTTATATTTTCTGTTTTTATTTTAATTTTAATTAAGTTTTAATAACTAATTTTTATATTTTCTGTTTTAATTTGAATTTTAGTTAAAGTTTTAGCTACTCATTTTTAGTTTTATATTTTGTTTTCATTTTAATTTTAAAGTTTTAGTAACTCGTTTTTATATTTTCTGTTTTTTTTTAATTTTAAATAGTTTTAATAACTAATTTTTATATTTTCTGTTTTAATTTTAATTTTAAATAAAGTTTTAATAACTAATTTTTATATTTTCCGTTTTAATTTAAATTTTAAAGTTTTAGTATATTTTCTGTTATTTGAGCGTGTTTTTGTCATTTTTATTTTATTTATTTATTTCAAATATATCTGTATTTTTTCCCAGTTAAAGTTTATTTCAAGTAACAAAAAAATATATTTTTTTATGGTTTTAGTTTTAGTTAACTAGAAAGTGAATATGAAGACTTTTGGGACGCAAACATTTAAGTGCACTAGATGGATTTCACTCTAGAAATGTCTGTGTTTGTTACCTGGTTGATGTTGACGAGCGGTTCTTCATCCTGAACCAGCATCTGAGCGAACTGAAGGCCCTGATCAGGACTGGATCTCATCACACTCCTCAACAGCATCACCCAGTCTGGAGAATATCCCATCTGCCCCGAAAACAACACGTCAACCAGCAGAGACACAGATGAGGGCGGAACAGAGCTTTTGAAGGGAACGCCACACCGGTACCTTCTTAGCATAGAGCACTATCTTCTGGAACTGAGCCGTCTCCGCAAAGCACTGGATGACTTTCGCAGGAACATTCGCTCGCAGGTAAACGCTGAGGGCCAGAGTGACGTCAGCGGCCCTCACCAGATCACCCAACTCCTCCGAGCACTCCAGCTGCAGGGCATCATGGGAAAAAACCAACACTCAGGACTCACTGTTAACTAAATCTAAAACTAAAACTGTTAAAGGGGTAGTTGATTGCGATTTCACTTTTTAAATGTTAGTTAGTGTGTAATGTTGCTGTATAATTTTCACATAGCTATATAAGAAGCATTAAACATGGACGCGCATGCGGTTGCTGTACCGTATTAAAGCTTTAATCAGGATAAAACCGTATATTAAAGCAGTAAATAACCAATCAGAGCCCATCGCCTATATCTGAGGGCAGGGCTTCATAAAAACAGGAAAAGATCAGCACTTTTCTCAGAGAAGGGACAGAGCGGTGTGGAATAAAGGTAAATTATGCGAAAAATAATGCGTTTTTTTTTTTAAATGAAGCATTAACACATGTTAGACTGCACCCCATAAACACAATCAAGCCTAGAAAAAACCCAGTGAACCACCCCTTTAACATTTTTTAAGGCAACACTGAAATAACATTTTACGGCAATTGAAATAAAGCTGTAATAAAATGAAATTTAAATATTAGATGAAAATGTTAAACTTATCAAGCTTAATTGAAAAATTGAAACACTGGCTTGGCAACTAAATGAAAAAAAAGTTGAAGCACTAAAAATATATATATATATAAAAAAATAATAATTAAAAAAGCACATAACAAAATGACTAAAACGTAAACTAAAATTAAAATGAAAACTGAAAATATAAAATAAAAATCTAATTCAAAACATTTTATAAATACTAAAATAGGACAACAATCCAACATTCATGAGTCATTGTTAACTAAAACTAAAACTGTCATAAAATAAACTATAAATATTAGATGAAAAACTGAAACTTGAAAGGCTTAAATGAAAATTAGTAACGGTCCGTGTATCGAATTGCAGTTTAAAATAAATCTGTCTAAAAATGCTGTCTAAACGTAACTTTTATTTTCCAAATTTCACAAATGCACAGATATGTCGAAATAAAATAATTAAAAATGAATTGATAAGTAATAATTGTGACCCTGGAGCACAAAACCAGTCTTAAGTCACTGGGGTATATTTGTAGCAATAGCCAACAATACATTGTATGGGTCAAAATTATTTATTTTTCTTTTATGCCAAAAATCATTAGGATATTAAGTAAAGATCATGTTCCATGAAGATATTTTGTAAATTTAGTTTACCAGGTAAAAATTGGCTTAAAACTTTCATTTTCCGTTTTTTTTTTTGGAATACCTCATAAATAAATAAAAACTAATAAAGCTCCTAATCTCAACAGATCATGAAAAATATCCACGTTTATTTATATTGACAAATTAAGCACATCAATTTGAACTTCACTTTGCACAGACACAAACATTAATAAAATAATTAATTAATTAATAATTAAACTTCTTGTATAAAAAAAGATTACTCATAATAAATAATAATATTTAATTATAAATAATAATAATAATAATAATAATAATAATACTATAATTGGTCCAGGGTCACAAATGAGAAAGAGCAATGAATTTTCCACCTTCTCTCCTTTGAGCCATTTCTCCAGCAGCTGTGTTCGTCCCTGCTGCAGCACCGGCCTGCAGAGCTCCACCGACTCCAGCTTATTGAGCTGCCCACGGTCCAGCAGGACCCCGAAATACTGCAGCAGCGCAGACGGCTGGACCCCCTGCGCCGGGACGGCCTGGAACCGCCGGATGGTCTCTGCCGATCGCAACACACCCTGAGAAGCAGAGAGAGGATTCAGAGACAAGCGTGTGTGTTCTAGACAGTGATTCCGTGTGACTCAGGTTTGAGTTCTCCGAGTGTGTGTTTTTCGGGGACCTTGGGAGCCGATGCAGCGACTTTGGCCGCCTCGGTGTAGCTGCCCTGAGAGAAGAGCGTGTTGAACTTGTGCGTCAGGAGCTCCTCGGCTCCGGGAAGATCGCTGCGTAACGCTAAACGCAACGCCAGCTCGGGATTCTGCAGCACGTTAGCCACGTAATTTACTATGTTCTCCTCCTCCACACACACCGACAGCACCTAAAAACACACACACACACAAGCACACACACACACACACAAGCACACACACACACACACACATCAGTGACACACGTGGTATAACTAGACACAGACAGAAAACAGAAGATAGCTGGAAATTTAAACTTTTGGCACAACTAAATAAATATATTATAATTATTCAACAAAACAGCTTTATAAAATGACAATTGACCAATGATGTTCAACATTCCAGAGTTATAATTATAACAAAATGTAATAATTAGAAATGCACAGAGAAGAAAACAGAAAATAGTTGGAAATTGAACATTTCAGGCAGATTGGGAACATCTAAACCAATAATAATTGGTTATAATAATAATAATAAAATGTAATCTTATTTATTTGTTTGTTTATTCATAATTATAATTTTATATTTCATTATAATTATAACTTTGGAATACTTGTTTCTGATTGGTCAAATTGTCATTTTAAAAGCTGCTTTTTGAATTATTGTATTTAATTATTATATTTATTTAGTTTTATATGTATCTATTTTTAATTATTGTTTTGATTTTAGTTATAAACATAACTCTGGAATACTTGACTCTCATTAGTCAATTGTCATTTTAAAACTGTTATTTTTAATTATTTATTTAATTCTAATTATTATATTTTGTTATAATTATAACTCTGGAATATTGAACATCATTGGTCATATATAGACAGACAGACAGACAGACAGATAGATAGAATTAATAATAAATTCAAAATAAATAAATAAAATGGATAGAATAAATCAATTAAAAAAAATATTAATCTCAACAGATCATGAAAAATATCTATGTTTATTTATACTGACAAATTAAGCACATCAACTTAAACTTCACTTTGCACAGACACAATTTAATAAAATAATTAATGAGTAAATAATTAAACTTCTTGTAAAAGAATATTGTTATTTTTTACTAATTTTTTACTCTGGAATACTTGACTCTCATTAGTCAATTGTCATTTTATAAAGCTGTTTTGTTGAATAATTATATTTTAATTATAATATATTTATTTAGTTATATATAATTTGAATTATTATTTTAGATTTATTTCTAATCATACATCTGAAATGCTTGACTCTTATTGAGCATTTTAAAAGCAGTTTTTTTAATAATTATATTTTATTCTATATATATATATATACAGTGGGTACGGAAAGTATTCAGACCCCCTTAAATTTTTCACTTCATGAGCGGCCGTGACGAATATGGTTTCAGCGCTGATGCGGTTCATGTAAATGCACACACCCGACTCCAGATCATACATGTGAAAATAACCATATTTAGTGATGAGGTAGATGACGCCGTGCTTAGTCCCCATCTGAGAGAGAAAACACAGAAGCTAATTCTACATGTGCTCAGGAACTCGTCCAGCATCAGGTAACAGAGCGCATTAGTGCAAGCATTTTTTCCATTCATTTTTCCCATAGGGATTTTTAAAAGAGTCCACATTAAAGCGTTACTAGATTTGATCCAAACCAACCAGCTACGAGGAGAATCACAACATCACAAACTTTGATTTGAAGCAAAAAAAGTAGGCTATTTGAAAATTGGACAAAAAGACAAAGATACAAGACTGTGAACTTAACAACTTCAATGAGTGAAAATCCTACCGTGTGTCATACTATTTAGCTTTGAAAACTTCATTGCTGTTTTCATGTTTATTAATACTTCTTCATGTAATGCAAGTTTTTTTTTTCAGCCAAACCACTTTGACGTAAAATATTCCCTTAGGAAGTGAATATTTCAATAATTTAACAAAACTTTTGCATGTTCACAGCTCTCTGATGATGGTCACATTGACATGCAGTTAAACAAATTAAATATTTTTATTTTTAGTGTTCAAGTGTTTTATTTTGTTTTTCTATTTTACATTTTTATGATTGAATTAATTATTAGCGTTTTAACAACTCACAAACCCACTGCAGTTCTTACATTGACCCCATGCTGGGAAACCCTGGAGTAATGTAATATTTAATGCATTTTATGACAAATTTTTTATGAAAAAAAAAATCAAAGAATGAAGTATATTTTCTTTATGTGCCTTTTTATATCAATGGGGTACATTTAATGGCAAGTTGAAAGCAAGTTAGGTAAAAAAAAAGTAATCTAAAAGTAATCTAGAAAGTAGTGCTGTCAAAATGAACGCGTTAACGCATGCAATTAAAAATGTAACACAATTAACGCAGGGGCGGAGCTAGGGTTCTGCTTCTGTCTTTTTCTCTTGACAAGACTTGCATTTATTTAGTCACATAACGTCTTTACGAGCACATCAAACGGGAGACTTTCAGACGCGCACTCCAACTTCACCTCAGCGTCAGGCGCGAGTCAAACGAGAAAAGATACAGGAGCTTCAGTAACGACAGTGAACTGCAGTCAGATGAGATGCTGTCAGGCCGTATGTCAGTAAAAACCAATTTTCCTGTCCTGTCAGCCGTTATACTGTGCTCGTAGCACGTGCTCTTCAAATGCACAGACAAATATGGCGGTGCATGCTGTATTATATTAAAACACTATATCATATTAAAGCGCAAATGAAACTACGAGCATGCATTGTGGTAGTTATTTCGTCAGTTAAATCATGAAGTTGCCAAAAAGGTGATTAAAGCTGCCTTAAAACTGTGCATGTATATAAGTATTTGTTATATGAGTCAGATTTAAAAACACGTCTCTGAAATGCAGTGGTTTTCAGAACTGTCCTGGAGCAGCAGCACTGTCTCCCTCATCGAACACACCCGATTCAACTCCTCAGCTCATTATAGAGACTTTAAGAGCTGAAGTGGGTCAGAAAAGGTAAAGAGTTATGAGAAACTAGGATGCGTGTCAGATCCGCGTCACGTTCAGCAGCGGCAGCTCTTAAAGCAGCCAAAATAACTGAATATGTCTGTTCATCAAAGAACAAAAGAAAAAAGATCAAATCAGTCACTTCTGCAGCTTTAAGGATTCATCTATATTTAATTTAGAATTTAGTTTTTGATGATGGTCACATTGACATGCAGTTAAACAAATTAAATATTTTTATTTTTAGTGTTCAAGTGTTTTATTTTGTTTTTCTATTTTACATTTTTATGATTGAATTAATTATTAGCGTTTTAACAACTCACAAACCCACTGCAGTTCTTACATTGACCCCATGCTGGGAAACCCTGGAGTAATGTAATATTTAATGCATTTTATGACAAATTTTTTATGAAAAAAAAAATAAAAGAATGAAGTATATTTTCTTTATGTGCTTTTTTATATCAATGGGGTACATTTAATGGCAAGTTGAAAGCAAGTTAGGTAAAAAAAAAAAGTAATCTAAAGGTAATCTAAAAAGTAGTGCTGTCAAAATGAACGCGTTAACGCATGCAATTAAAAATGTAACACAATTAACGCAGGGGCGGAGCTAGGGTTCTGCTTCTGTCTTTTTCTCTTGACAAGACTTGCATTTATTTAGTCACATAACGTCTTTACGAGCACATCAAACGGGAGACTTTCAGACGCGCACTCCAACTTCACCTCAGCGTCAGGCGCGAGTCAAACGAGAAAAGATACAGGAGCTTCAGTAACGACAGTGAACTGCAGTCAGATGAGATGCTGTCAGGCCGTATGTCAGTAAAAACCAATTTTCCTGTCCTGTCTGCTGTTATACTGTGTTTATGTTGAATGGCTATAGTCAATGGTTAAATATTAGAAAAAAAACAATTTCCTAGAGACATCATTAGTATTGGTATCAGTGATACTCGCCTTCAGTCATAAAAAAGATGCCATTAAACAAATATAAAAAATATACTGTCTTAATGTTGTTTCTACATTAATTTGAAGATTGAATGTGAAATTATTGCAATATAAAAGTATATTTAAAAACTTTAATGTTAGATAGGATTAATCGCGATTAATTTCGGGAAAAATGTGCAATTAATTACTTAATTTTTTTTTATCAATTGACAGCACTACCAGAAAGTAATCAGAACACATTACCTAAAACAAGTAACCGAGATTACATTACTAACTACAATTTTCATCATGTAATCTGTTATCAGTAATGGACTACAATTTGAAAGTAATCTGCTAAAAACAGAATTAAATTAAATACGACGGAGAAATATAAAACTACTAATTTAAAGTTGTTGGTTGTATCTATAGATACATTACATTTTATTTCTATTGCATACATATACAAATATTTAAGTATTTTGAGAGCATAGGGAGATTGACTCGATTTTGAATTTTCTGCACACCATCATGGGTAATGTAGTTTTTCACCACAAATTCTGCTATAAAACATGATTATTTTAAAAAATAAGTTGAATTAATGTGAACATATGGGTTCAACATTAGCATATACAATCGATTAACAACCTCAGAGCTCTAAACAGGGCTGTCTTTAAAGATTTATCAGTTATTGTCAAAAATCAATTTCTCTATGGAGAAAATGAATGGAGTTTTTACTTCCGCTCTGTAGTGTGGTAAAGGTTTGACCTGCATGGCCACAGGAAAGTCCGTCTGCGCTTCAGGAGGGAAAAACACGTCCACTGCTTTCTTAGTGAACGGCTGATTACCGGCCTGAGGCTGACCGACCTCGATGATGTGCAGCTGGAGAAGACCAGAAACAGCTTTATACTCCAGAAAAGCACTCAGCTCAAAAGCTATCTGAATGTGATATGGCCTGACGTCACCTTTCCTCCAGCCTGCCCTCTGACGCCGAAGCAGAAGAGCGTGGAAGCGTTTGGGTTTCCCTCCAGTTTATAATGTCCAAACGCAGCCGAGTGACCCTCGATGGGCTGAGAAACCTTCCGGTCCACAGAGAACAACTGCATGGCACCGACGACCCGATTCTGCTGCAGGAGCCAGAGACGAAGAGAGACTTACACACACAAACTGACATTCACAAACTAAGGACACATTCAATTCATACTTCTATTCAGCGAGTATGCATTAAATTGATCAAAAGTGACAGTGAAGACATTAATAATATTACAAAAGATTTCAAATAAAAGCTGTTCTTTTGAACTTTCTATTCATCTGTGAATCCTGAAAAAGAAAATGTATCACAGTTTCCACACAAATATTGTGCAGCACAACTGTTTTCAACATTGATAATAATCAGAAATGTTTCTTGAGCAGCAAATCAGCATATTAGAATGATTTCTGAAGATCATGTGACACTGAAGACTGGAGTAATGATGCTGAAAATTCAGCTTTACGTCACATGAATAAATTACATTTCACTATATATTCATTTTTTTTTTAATTTTGGGTTTTTGAATTTCTTTCTAAATTACTTTTATTTTTATTTATAAATACCTTTAATTGATTTTTACTTCAATTTTAGTTTTAATAATTTTAGTACTTCAGCTTATTCAGCTGATTTAGTTTATTAAGTTGAAGTTTTTCATTCATTATCTATTTTACTTTAGCTTTATTTCAATTACTGAAAAATTATTTTTACTAGTTTTAGAATTTTTTAAAGAAATGTAAGATTAAATTATTAATAAATTGTTTTTTATCCCTTTTATTAATTATTCTTAGTTACTAAAAATTCACTCAACCATAAAAATCAAAATACATAAAACATAAAATGAAGAATAATTAAAAAAAAACAATCAAAATAAAACACTTACCAAAAAATTAAATAAAAGATACTATCAAAATAATAAGAAACAGAAATAAAACACTTACTAAAAATTAATTACATAAAAAATTTAAATGATTTATTACTGATATTTTTTAATTAAAAAAATGTAAACACAATAGTTCCTAAAAATTAAATAATTTAATTGCAGGATGTAAACTCAGAATTCTGAGGGGGAAAAAGTCAAAATTGTGAGATAAAATGTCAGAATTACTTTTTTTGGGGTTTCCATACAGTAAGTATGTCATAAAGTTCAGAGAATGCCTGACAATCAGCAAAGAAAACGTGATGAAGGTTGAATCTGTGTAGTCGTCTTAATATATCATTTATCCATACTTTAAAGTGCTGGTGCAGCAAAACTGAAAGATGAATTACCTCCACACTAGGGCTGCACGTTAAATCGCATGCGATATTTAATGCGCATCTTGTCAGAAAGCCGGTTCTGTAATCAGCGGTAAATCTCTACACACACACACGGCCGTGTCCGTAACCAGGGCGATGGTGTTAACCGAGATCCACCTCCAGAACAGGACTTCATCCGTCATAGTGTGAGCCTTCACTTTACTCTTCATCTCCATGTTAAAGATCTGCAGCGTCCGCGCCGCTGCGGGACACACACCACCTTTGACCTCTGACCTCACACACTAAACACTGAATATCAGCAGTGCTGGGCATAACATGATTACTCAAATACTTTGGATTACTTTCTTTTAGTTTTTTTTTTTGTCTTGAAATGCCCCCAAAATGGTGCAGATTAGCTGTTTATTTAATGTATTTACTAATAAACACAATTAAAAACATTCCCATTAACTGCATCAAAAGGCCGAAAATGAAGGTCGTTTCAGAGATAGAGCTAGTTATTACATTTTGATGAAAGATTATGAAGACAAGCATTTCTTTAGAATAACATGCACTGATGAATCATTCAGAAATGTGAATTACAGAAGTAAATATTGATTTCATGTTGACTTTAAAAGAAATATTACCCAACACTACGTTTCATTACTGAATATAAGAAATGATCTAATACTGTATATTAGTTAATCATTATCATTAATCATGACCTAATATTAAATGTCTAATGTTTTGCCTGTATTTATCACAAACACGGATGAGACAATAACTGTGTGCAGCACTGAAAACATTATTTTAGTATTAATTATATATTATTACAATATTTATTAATATTTTGAATTCGCTTTTATTTTTATGATTAGTTTTTATTTTATTTTTTCTTTCTAATTTTTTTATATTTTTTATTTCTGCTTAATTTTCATTTCGATTTTAGTTTTAATCATTTCTGTCCTTCAGCTCATTTCAGTTAGTCTAGGTTTACATTTTTTAGCTAAGGTTTTCATTATTAATTATATTTTATTTTTATTTCGATTGCTAAACCATTTTAGAAAAAAATCTTTTAAATCTTAAAAATGTAGGACTAAAATGATTAAATAATTTTAAACAAAAAACAAATCAATATCCAACACTTGCTAAAAATGAATAAAATCATAAAAATTAAAAAAATTAAATAATTAAAAAAAAAAAATTATCAAAATAAAACATTTACTAAAAACTAAAAATCACAAAAATGTACAATTAAAAGAAATAATTTTAAAATAAAATGCTTGCTAAAAAATTAAATCGTAAAAATTTTAAATTAAAGGGGTCATATGATGTGATTTCATTTTTTCCTTTCTCTTTGGAGTGTTACAAGCTCTTGGTGCATAAAGAAGATCTGTATAGTTGCAAAGACTAAAGTCTCAAATCCAAAGAGATATTCTTTATAAAAGTTAAGAGTTAGCCACACCTACCTAAAACGGCTCGTTCGAACAC